GTGACAAGAGGTTCCGGTTTCCCAGGGAGTCTCATGGCCTCTGGCCAGGCCTACTTCTGACTGAGCTCCACGTGGCCTGGACCCTGCTGTCTAGTCCAGCCTGCAGGTCAGGGACTAGTGACTGGTCTACGTCAGCAGGGACTTATTCCTGCCAGCTGCTCAGGGCCTGGCACTGTCGTCTTAGTTTCCCCAGTCACGCCGAGTTCAAGGCACCAACAAGAAATTTCTTCTTCACTGAGCACTCGTCTGCTTCTTCACTGGTGGCTGAGGATGAGGCCCCACGCCCTTTTACAAGCCTGTCCTACCCGAAGTGGCTGTGATTTGGACTGACTCAGGTGAAGGAAAATGCCTGCTGAGTCACCACCACTTCCTACAACACCCAGGATCTCCATTAATTAAGGCCTCCAGATCACGTGGCGAATCGCCAGCCTGAGATCAGAAATGAGGGCACACCCAGGCGCCAGGGGGATGGAAGGAGCACAGCTTAGTCCCTTCTTTGTGAGCTCAGAACACGGGCCCATCCCTGCCTGCTCTGTCCCCGGGGCTGCCTCCTCCAGACAGCAGGAGGCGAGCGCCTGTGCCATGGTCATCATCATCCTCCTTCTGTTTGTGTCGGCACAACTATCTCGTATTCAATCACATGCAGTTTTGACTGACCCTGCAACGGGGAGGTTTTTGGAAAATACTCCCCTCTCAAACTAGCTCTAGTTAAAGTCACTGGTCCTACAGTCCTTCCAAAACAGAGAATGTACTTACATTGTGTATTAGCTGTTGAAATACTAGGGAAATTTAAAATAATTAACCAGTTGACATAATACTCTCCAGGTTCATCCCATATGATCTCACTAATATATGGAATCTAATGAACAAAATAAAACTGACACATGGATGGAACCAGAAGCATGCTAACATGAAACAGACTGGCAGGTACCAGAGGGGAAGGAGGTGGCGGTGACTTGATAAAGAAGGTGAAGGGATTAGCTAAAGAACATATATGTACACCCCATGGACACGGATAAAAGTGTGGTGAAGGCCAAGAAAGGAAGATGCAGGAGTGGATGGAGATGGGCAAAAGGGGAGAAAATGAGGAACATCTGCAATAGTGTCAACATTAAACATTTTTATTTGAAAAATAATAATTAAGAAGTCACACACATATGTATGTATATATGTATGTATGTATGTATGTATATTCAAACTGAATTATGAATTTCAAAGTCACAATAGGATTGAGGTCATTCCAACCTGGATGTGGCCACTTGTTAGTTGTGTTACTTCAGACAAGCTCTCTGGGTCTTTGAAGCCTAGTTTGCCCATCTGTGATGCTGGAGATCACTCCTGTTTAAATAGCCTCATAAAGATGACAGGATGTGCTGGAGAAAGGACACTGGAATCTACGGAGATCCCCTCTGTGCCAGCTACTCTGCCAAGTGCCGTCTCATACTGATATCTTTTTAAATTAGCCTGAATGCTTACAAAGTTATGAAACGTTGGTTTTTATTATAAATTGTGGGGAAAGTTTCTTAATTGCTTGGAACTTAATTTCTTTATCTGTGAACCTGAAATAATCCCAGCAAACTCAAAGTGTTGTGTAAGACTTACCTGAATTCTCAGAGGTAAAGGTGCTGGATAGAAGCTTACAGAGAGTAGATTAGTATTGATGCTGATAATATATTTTGAAATTGCTGCTTGAGAATAACCTCCACAGTCTTCCTAAAGGACTACACCAGTCTGGGCAGTGGCATCCTTAATGACATAGTTAATGACAGAAGATCTAAGTATCCTTTTATCCAACCCAGACTCTAAGTACACCCTCTGCTTAGACAGCGCTGTCAATTTTAAAAGGCTCAGAGTCAGACCAGTGCTATCCTGGGCCCCTGGGGTGTCATCCCTCATCTGTAGTGGAGTTCTCCTTCTGTGAAAATAGGCCTGAATGGTTTTTCATGGTTTTTGCTTTCTTAAAAATATTTTTAAAATAGATTTTTTATTGTTTTCAGAGAGAAAGGGAGAGAGAAAGAGAGATAGAAACATCAATTATGAGAGAGAATTATTGATCGGCTACCTCCTGCACGCCTTCCACTGGGAATAGGTTTCACAACCCGGGCACATGCCCTTGACTGGAATCGAACCTGAGACCCTTCGATCCACTTGCTGATGCTCTATTTGCTGAGCAAAACCGGCTAGGGCTTTGCTTTGGTTTTTAAGACAAAACATGCTTTGGGATCTCTTGTCTGGAGAGTCCTAATCCTGTGAAAGTGACCACTGTTTCATTATTCATTCCTCAGGGTGTAGTTTGTGCCACCTGAAGTCAGCTCAGGAGATTCCGGATTTTCTCAGCAAACCTGCGAGCTGGCAGCAGGGGCGGTATCCTATCCAGCTGAGGAAGAGGACTTGGAGGAGGAGGGAGGGAGAGGGCCCGGCAGGGAAGGAGGGAGCCACAGCGCTCCAGAAAGGGAGTCCGGGGAGACTGGCTCCTGGGGGAAACTTCCTCCCAGTCTTGGCTACAAAGACCAGCCTCCTCCTGACCCTGGGTCTCACTCAGCCGAAAGGTGCTTCATATATATACATGCCAACTGCCAGCTGCCACCACTTCCTGTCTTCAAGAGGGACCCACACAAACCTTGTGTGCCAGGCAAAGTGATTTTCTGGTTCTACTTCCCTCAATGACTTGACCAGGACTCTTTTTCACAGGGCAGGGAAACACAGCTGTGTGCTCAGACTTGCCTGATTAGTTTATGGTCAATATGTATTAGCTTAGGAATTTATTTTGGTGCATTATAGCTCTAATGAAATAGGACAGGAACATTAACAGTGTTTGATGTTTTAGAATACTTTTTAACATGTTCGTGGTCAGTTGAGAAAAGAGATTTTTTTTTTGTTTCACTTTAAAATATTGTGGTAAAATATACATAGCACAAAATACATCACATTACCTAATTTCAAGTGTACGTTCTCGAGTACAATCACATTAACAACATAAGAGAAGTAAAGTTAAATAACACTGAGTCTTTAAAGAGTTGTTGTGTTAATATGAGAAGATGATTTAAAATGCCTTCTAAAGTAAGTCATCTCCCTTCACACACACAGATGAGTGATGACCAAGAAATTATTTGATGGTGGCATTTACAGGCCTAGATGGTGAGATTCCAAAATCCAGATGACAGAAACCTAAGAATCTGGTGACAAGCCATCACTGTAACCATGAGATTATAGCAGTTTGCTAATATTGCTCATTATATCACTTAGGAGAGTGTATATTTATGTATTTTTATTTTCCATTTTTATGGTTACCCTAACAAAGCAACAATGGCTAGATAGCTATTGTACATTTGGAAAAATGGTGAGGTTTTGTGGAGGAGGGGTGTGCCATGCAGGTGCAGGAGGGTCCCAAAGAGGCTGGTGCTGGCTGGGCCCTGCCATCCTGAGGGAGTCCCAGGGGCCTGGGAGCAGGCAGCACCTGCGGTGACCCTTGCTGACAGCAGGTGGCAGCAGTGAGCAGCTCCCCATCATTCTGGGTTCCACTCTGGCCCTTAAGTCTGAGAGACTGGTTACCTAGTCACATGACCAGTGGCTTATATCCCTGGATGGGTTACTCAGCTTCTCAAAGAAATGGGAGAAGCCAAACTAACCACTAGTCTCCGGTATTTTCCTGGCAAAAGCCTGCCATGTTTCATGAGTTAGCTTTGTGTTCCTGAAGACCCTCAGAAGAAACTATTTCAATTGCATAGAAAAGATTGGAAGGAAATACACTGAGGTTTCTTGTGCACCTCTGAGCAGGGCTGAGACATTGGACTCCCACTTTTGACTTTACATACTTCTGTATTTACTTTTAATGCAAATCATTTTAACAAAAAGTTTAAATAATGGCAGTATTCTATTGCCATTTATTATCCTAGGAATAACAATAGTAGTTGTAAGGAGACTACAAGTATTATGAACTTTTGTTCTCTTGTGATAAAAAAAATAATAATAAAGAGAAACTACTCATGCTTCTCAGAGGGAATAAAAAAAATATTTTAAGATCTTCTCCAGTAATATTTCTCAATTTAAAAACAAACAAACACGCAGTTTACAAAACTACCACCTTCTATGTAGGCGCGTACACACACCATGTAGTTCCACAAGGGGAAAAGATTCCAGATGTGCCTGTGGGCGCTTGGTTTTCTTTCTTCTGGGAGCAGCTGGACAGGTAAACTCTCCAGGGCAGGCAGACTGCTAATCTGAACAGATCTCAGCCCTGATGAAAGCAGCCGGTGGAGACTGCTCCATGGGGATTTTAAAGCAACCAGGCACTCCAGTTTTGCCCCATTCCTGCAATAAATCACCACTCTCAAAGGGAGCTCTGAGCTCGTTTTCAGCTTTTAGAATGGCCACCAAAGTTCAATCCCCTAATACCTGCGAGAGAGCCTGTGGCCAGGCCCGTGCTGGACCCTGGGGAGCCAAGCAATGCAGAGGGGCCTTAGCTGAGCCAGTGGAGCTGGCAGAGCCAAGCAGATCCTTCCTTGATCTTGGCCTATGCGCAGGTTCCAGCTAAGTGCGGGATGTCCTTCTGAGCAGGAAAGAAGACAGACGTTAAACCTCTGCCCTGAGGCCAGCAGGGTAGGCTGTGCGCCTGTACGGCCACCAGGACCAGTGCAATGAGTGACCGCGAGGGCCTGCCTGTGTCCTCAGCGGGGCCAGGTCTCAAGTGCATTGGAACAGGTTCTGAAACACACAGGGCCTCTCAGACTGGGGTCCCAGTGCTTGAGGGGAGTCAGGCTGGCTGCGCTATTTAAAGTCTCCGGACGGTGTCGCCAGCGCTCCTCCTCCGGCGGCCAGGCCACTCCTGCTGCTCCCGCTGTTCGTGCCCCCAGCCGTCAGGGCAGAGCAGCACCAAGGCGCCCTGCCCCGCCTCAGGAGCGTGTAGGGGAGGGGGAGACTGTGCTGGGGGAGGGAGGCAGGCGTTGGTAGGGACGCTGGTGGGTGGTGGGTGGGAGTGGGTTGGTTGGGAGGATGTGGAGTTCAGGGCGGGGGGTGTGAAAGAGGAGCAGGAGGCAGGAGCGGTGGGCACAGGGTGTGGCCTGCCATGGGGCCCCTGTTCTCCGGCGCCGCTGGGCGTGAACTGCGGTGGAGGCCTGCGGACTGGCGCGGGCGGGGCGGGGCACCGCTGCGGGGCCCCGGAGAGGAGCTGGGCGTGGGCACGCGGCGGGGCCGGCCGGGTGCGGGCGCACGCGGTGAGCAGGTAGAGGACGGTCTGCGTTCCGGGCCAGGCGTCGGGAGCGCTGTTTGGAGAGGCGGGCCAGCTCAGCGGGTAAGTGTGCGGAGCACCCGGGATCCGGGATCCGGGCCCCTCTTAGCCCCTGGAAACTGCCTCTGGGGATAGTGCTAGGAATCTTCGGGAAGCTGCGGGAGCAGCAGAGCTGTAGAGCGAGGTCCGGGACTCTCTGAGGTCCCTTTGGGGTAACTGAGGTTGGAGGTTCCTGCAGAGCCCAGGTCTCAGCTGAGAAAAGATTTCCTGGGGGCTGGCCGGCGGCTGCGCAGGGTGTGAGGGGGATGCTTTCCTGTGGAGGTCTCCCTCGGAGGTGGGTGAGCAGGACTTTCTCTAGGACTTCAGGTCTGAGATCTCCAAGGACTATTTAAACCTTGGAGGCTTGGGGGACACAGGGGCCCCGAGAAGGATGGAGGGAAAACCCAGGCTGGTTCAGCAGCAACACGCTCTCTGCACAGCTTCTTGGTTTTATTAGGCAACTATGCTGCCTCCTACATCCCTTTAAGGAAAGCGTGTGTGTGTGTGTGTGTGTGTGTGTGTGTGTGTGTGTGTGTGTTTAAAGAAACTTTAGCAGTAAGTGCCAGGACCTGATTCTTGATCTATATTATATGCTGGTTACTGTGTGTTCAAGTACAAGAGTGGAAGAGGCTTAGGGGCTGTCCTGCCAGCAAGTGGCAGGGACCCGCATGCACTTGCTTTGTTGTCTGCGCTCTAGTGGACATAAGAGGATGCAGAGCTCCGAGTAATGAATGTTTATCAGCTGGGCTTTAGAGACAAGTGAAATTCAATTTTTATTTTATCAAGATATCACCAAAATATGCCATTTAAAAATAGTTATATAGAAACAGCTGAGACATGAATTAGGCATAAGTCTCCCAGACCCAAATGATCAAAATGATGTTGACTTACTATATGTCTATCACTTCACTGGCAATCCATCGTGTGCTATGACAAATATTGCAACACAGACAGTAAAAGTTTAGAGAGGAAAAGAGAATTCATTTTCCAAAGGTGAGTGTGTTCAAAGTAAACATCAGCTAATTTGGCTCATATTTCATGGGTGCAACTGTTTAGTTCACGTTGAGATGAATATCTAATAAAAGGGGCACAGGAGCCCTGATCGGTTTGGCTCAATGGATCGTCCTGCGGACTCAAGGGCCCCAGGTTCGATTCCGGTCAAGGGCATGTACCTTGGTTGCGGGCACATCCCCAGTGGGGGGGGTGCAGGTGGCAGCTCATCAATGTTTCTCTCTCATCGATGTTTCTAACTGTATCCCTCTTCCTTCCTCTCTGTAAAAAATCAATAAAATATATATATTTTAAAAAAAGGGGGGGGGGGGGCGCACAGGTATTCCTGTGAAGTAATTCACAGAAGCATGACTACTAGACAGTGCTGCGTAGGGTAAACAGTAAAGTTTAATCAGTGCAAAGCTGTCTTGAATAAGGCATTTAACAAAAGTTCATGGTTTGCCAAAAAGAGAGAATTTTGACACAATTTCCTTGAATGATACCTTTTAAGTGGTGTTCATTTCTTTTTTAATATTTTTTAAATTTTTTCAATTATAGTTGATGTACAATACTACATTAGTTTCAGGTGTACAAACCAGTGATTAGATATTTCCATAACTTATGAAAGTGATCACCTCAATAAATCTAGTACCATACATAGTTGGTATTCATTTTCTTAACTTGTACACTATACATTTGAAACTTAATTCTCTGTATTTATCACAGCCAATTTACTTTTTGTCTATATTTTTAAAAAATTTTTATTGTTGAGAGTATTACAGATGTCCCTCTTTTCTCCCCCATTGCCCTCACCCTTCATCTGGTTCCTGCCTGGTCCCAGGCCTTCACCACCCTATTAAACATCCTGTGTCCTTAGGAAATGCACATATGCATATAAGATCTTTGTTTAATCTCTTCCTGCCCCCCAGTTCCCTTCCCTCTAAAAATCATTAGTCTATTCCATTTCCATGATTATTGGATTCTGATTCTATTTTATTCCATAGTTTATTCTGTTCATTAGATTTCTTATTCATTTATTTTGATTTTTAGATTCAATTGTTGATTTATATGTATTTAATGTCATTTTGTTGTTCATATTTTTTCTTTTTCTTTATATATATATTATATATATTTTTATTGGCTTTTTATAGAGGAAGAGAGAGGGATAGAGAGTTAGTTAGAAACATCAATGAGAGAGAATCATCGATCAGCTGCTTCTTGCATACCCTCTACTGGGGATGTGCCTGCAACCAAGGTACATGCCCTTGACCGGAATCGAACCTGCGACCTTTCAGTCTGCAGGCCGATGCTCTATCCACTGAGCCAAACCGGTTTAGGCTGTTGTTCATATTTTTTTTTTTTATCTTTTTCTTCTTCTTTCTCTTCTTAAAGAATACCCTTTAACATTTCATGTAATACTGATTTGGTAATGATGAACTCCTTTAGCTTTTTCTAGTTTGTGAAGCTCTTTATCTGACCTTCAAGTCTAAATAATAGCTTTGCTGTATAAGGTAATCTTGGGTGTAAGTACTTGCTTTTCATCACTTAAAATATTTCTTGCCACTCCCTTCTGGCCTGCATAGTTTCTATTGAGAAATTAGCTGACAGTCATATGGATACTCTCTTGTGGGTAACTAACTGTTTTTCTCTTGCCGCTTTTAAGATTTTCTCTTTGCCAAAACCGCTTTGGCTCAGTGGATAGAGCATTGGCCTGCTACTGAAAGATCCCAGGTTTTATTCCAGTCAAGGGCATATACCTTGGTTGCACACACATCCTCAGTAGGGGGTGTGCAGGAGGCAGCTGATCGATGATTCTCTCTCATCGATGTTTCTAACTCTCTCTCTCTCTTTTTTTTAAATATATTTTATTGATTTTGTACAGAGAGGAAGGGAGAGAGATAGAGAGTTAGAAACATCGATTAGAGAGAATCATCGATCAGCTGCCTCTTGCACACCCCCCACTGGGGATATGCCCGCAACCAAGGTACATGCCCATCACCGGAATCGAACCCTGGACCTTTCAGTCCCCAAGCCGACGCTCTATCCATTGAGCCAAACCGATTTCAGCTCTAACTTTCTATCCCTCTCTCCTCCTCTCTGTAAAAAAATAAAAAACATATATATTAAAAAAAAAAAAAAAAAAAAAAAGGTTCTCTCTTTGTCTTTTGCCCTTGGCATGTTAATTATGGTGTGTCTTGGTGTGGTCCTTTTTGGGTTCCTCTTGTTTGGGACTCTATGCTTCCTGGACTTATGGGGGAAATTTTCTGTCATTATTTCTTCAAATAGGTTTTCAATACCTTGTTTTCTTTTCTTCTGGCACCCCCATAATGCAAACATTGGTATGCTTGAAGTTGTCCCAAAGGCTCCTTACACTATCTTCATATTTTCTATTTATTTTTTCTTTTTGCTCTTTTGATTGGGTATTTTTTGCTTCTTCAAATTCAAATCATTGATGAGATTCTTGGAATCCTTTACTCTACTGTTGAACCCTGTATATTATTCTTTATTTCAGTCAGTATATGCTTAATTTCTGACTGGCCCTTTTCCATGTGTTTGGTATTCAAGGATCTTTGGTAAGATCTTTAAAAGTCTCACTGAGTTCCTTCCTGGTCTCATGAAGATTCTTGAGTAGTCTTATAATCATGGTTTTGAATTTTGAATCCAGTTGTTTCCTCGCTTCCATTTCTTTCATTTGTGCCATGTTTCTTTGTCTCCACATTTCATCTGCTTCCTTGTGTTTGTGTCTTTATAATGGTTAGAGCTTCTATATCTCCTGAAGTTGGTAGAGTGGCTTTGTATAGCAGGTGTCCAATAGGGCCAGTGGCTGAGCCTCCCCAGTCACCTGAGCTGGTCACTCTAGATATACCCCTGTGTGGGCTGTGAGCACAGTCTTCTTGTAGTTGAGACTTGTTTGTTGTTGACATCACTGGGAGGAATTGACCTCCAGGCCAATTGGTTATGAGGACCAGCTGCATTTACAATGGCAGAGTTGCTGTGCAGAAGACACCCCTATGGGGCAGGACTTGCTTCAGTGGGGCTTTGGTACTCACTGAGTCTGCCCCGTGGGTGTGTCACTTATGGATGTGTAGAGTTGTAATCTGGTATAGTCTGACACTGTCCACTGGGTGTGCTGCCTTTTGGGTCTCCAATGTGGTGGAAACTAAGCCATAGCCTGGGGCTACCTGAAAGGAGCTACAGAGAGATCTGAAGCTTCCTCCTATTTGTTTTGGGTTTGAAAATGCCCAGGTGAGGCCCAGCTGTGTTGCAATGCACACTGGTGCTATTGCCTGGTCTTGGGCCTTTTATTGATAGGTTTAAGGCATCCTGACCCAGATGCTGCTTGTTTGAGAGATTTTAGCAAAGTCTGAAACCTGATTAAGGACAGGCCATTCATGTGGAAAGGCTGATGTGCACAGGTTGTGTGGGGCTGCAAACTGGATAAGGTGGGGTCTCAGGGAATCACCAGGGCAGAGTGGATAGTGTGAGCCAGGCTGATGGAGACTCAAATATGGCTGCCAGTCAGCCAAATGACCTGGATGTCCCAGCAAAGGAGCAATGACCCCTATGAGAACCTCCATCTGGTAGAAAACCGTCCCAAAGTTCCTGCCCCCGATGCCAGACAATCCAGTTCCTCCTCAAATGTGTCTGTGTCTCCCAGTGCCATTCCCTGGCACTGTAGCTCATAGGAAGCAAGACTGTGTAAGTTTGTGCACTGACTCTCTGAAACTCCTCAGTCTCCAATAGCCTCCATGTCACTCAGCCACAATCCTTAATGGTTTTTTCAGCCTGTAGTTATGGGGACTTTTCTTCCCAGTTCTGGGAGCCTGGACTGGGGGTCTAGTGTGGGGCTGGGACCCCTTGCTTCTCACAGGCCTCCTCTGCAGAGACCATCTCCCTCCTGATTTAAAAAAAAAAAAAAAAAAAAAAAAAAAAAAAAGACACACAGCCCTAACCAGTTTGGCTCAGTAGAGGTCCCATGTTCAATTCTGGTCAAGGGCATGTACCTTGGTTAAAGGCACATCCCCAGTAGGATG